TCGTTCTACGAGGGTCGCGTGCCTAATAAGAGATGCCTTCGGAGTCCCGACACCTTCGCAGGGGTTAACAATGGCCGGTCGTTTGTCCGATTGGTCGCGGCCATCGAACAGCAGGAAGACCTCTCTGGTCATCCGCAGCTATTTACCGACACGGATTTCCCTGACTTTTCCGAACCTAAATCCCAGTTTTTCCGCGTGGCATTCGGGGCGTCGGAGACAGATCCATCGAGAAGCTCGGCGAGAAAAGCTCGTTAAATCAGCGGGTCCGCGTAATTTCGCCGGAGAGGAGAAAAATACGAGTACGACCGGGGGGTAGGTGGTGAGATGCCGGGTCGCGCAACCCTCTTGGACGTAAAAATTTCGGCGTAGGGGGGTGCGAGATAGTAAATCGGTCCCCGCGACCGAGGTTAGCGGCGCGTTGAGATACGTTCGCCAATCAGGACGGAGGAGAGGCGTGGACTGAACGGAAGCAACTCGCCGCTGTAAGAGGCAGCGAGGGTGGTGGTACCAGGAACGGGCGCGATAACCTTGAAATGGAGAGAGACGAAGCAGCGGATAGGGGCGTGTTGAGGGCTGTACCGTATCACGAGTGGGGTTAATTTGATGCCGCGTTCTCCTGCCCGTGTCTCGGACCGTGGCCACGTAGAAGGGGAAAATAGATAGGCTCCCCTACCCTTGGCGACTCCGTTCCGCGAGGGAATGAGGGAACCAAGCGGTACCAAGCTGCACATGCGCCAGCCACGTTAAACTGCTGTCGGAGCGGCTTCGCGTGACTCGTCCCCCGGCTCTCGTCAATTATGGCTAAGTACACGTATCTCGTCTAACGCGGAGGACACAGAACGTGATGGAATAGGTCGATAGCGCGGCGAAGACATCGTATACACATTATTAGCGGGCGTCGTCACGGTGCGCCGTCCACTGTCTTTGATTAAACCCGCGTTAGACTGACAAACGATCAGCGAAACCTATCACAAATATCAGGACACGGTTTACAACCAAATGCAACCAAATTTCCATAAGACCCACTCCACGCTGTTGGCGATTCGTACCGAGTATCGATTAAAAAATAGCAGAGTGTTTTTGTGTGTGTGTTTGGAATTGCAAGCTAGCCTTCGAGAATAGACGCAAAACAAGCGTTCTCCGTGCGAGTTGTTCACCGAAACGTTATTACGAGGAGACGCGCGCGCGGCAATTACCGCTAAGTATAGGTGTCCATTATATCAGCTGAAAAGAGAACCTCGGATTCGATGGCTCGATAAGAACGACGGCGTCGTAGATAGTTATTAGCGTTGGTCGCGTTGCTTTACCTACACGATCGCAACCACTCTGTGTAAGGTATTGCGTTTAACTATAGACACAGCGAAACGTTATTTTTTCCCCCGTGTTTCCGTGTTTCCGTGTTTCCGTGGCAATCGAGTGGTGGTAATTTACGTGTTTAACGAGTTATTAACCCGGACGAGGTGTTAACGAGCCGCGTATTTGATCGATGGAAATGAAGGAAACGTTGAATTTCGGAGCAGCCGGAATCCGTAAAAGCTTGACCTCGTTCGCGATTACGTATGGATTTCAGCTAGTCCCCCGCGGTGACCTCCTAACATTCGGATAAATGTCACGAAACCTTTTGCAAAGGGAAAGCCGGAGACCGGTTGCTGGGCTCGCGGATATACGAAACAGTCGCGAGAGCGTGGATTGCGAAATGTTTCGCGGCGCATACTTATTTATTCGACTAACGAATTCAGCCTGCATAAAATCCATCCAACGTGCTGTTATCGCGTACGTATCCCTTCATTAGCGAGCACTCGCTAAAGGCTTTGTCGTACGACAAATCCTTACGTCGCGTTTCGCAAATTATCCGACATCCTCGTTTCTTCATCGCGGCGGCCTCCTGGCTGGAAACGACGAAAAACCGTTCGATCGGTTTCGAGATGCTCGCGTGTGGTCCACGGTGCACGGAAGAAGCGACGAATCGAGTCACGGACGGGGAGGAAAGTGTAAATTTCACCGAAAAACCGTCCTCATTGATGAATAGTTTATCGTGTGTTGGCCCCCACCGTGGGCACCGTTGGCACCGTAACGATCCACTGGACGTGGATCCCCTTCCACCAGCAGGACAATGGGGCCCTACCTAAATATCGGGGATCATGCTAAACGGCGGTAGATCAAAGGGACCGACAGAATCCAGTGGCGAGCTATCATAATAATTAGGCTCGCTCGCGCCTCTTTGTATCGGGATAGGAAAGCCGACGGGAAGGCCGAGAGACGAAGAAAAAGGGCCGCACGGACCGTTCCTCATTGGCTTTGCTGCTCCAACTGCTCGATCTGCCTCTTCCTCCACCCTGTTCGCCGTCTTCGTTCCTTCAATCGAGGCTAGATAGGCTCTAAAAAGATCTTATTGATCGCTGGGTCCCTCTATCTCTATTCCTGCCCTCATCGCGTTAGGTTTACGGTACGATTCGGGAGGAACGGTTCATCCGTGCTTTCTTGCGTCAGTTGCACCTCCAGAGATACTCGAACGATTGTAAAAAAGCTACCCCTATGCCACGAAAGACCGACCACCGTTCCCTTGTCCTCTTGCTGTTCAAAGTCGTGCAACGTTCGATCTGCCTCCTTCCTCCACCCTGTTCGCCGTCTTCGTTCCTTCAATCGAGGCTAGATAGGCTCTAAAAAGATCTTATTGATCGCTGGGCCCCTCTATCTCTATTCCTGCCCTCATCGCGTTAGGTTTACGGTACGATTCGGGAGGAACGGTTCATCCGTGCTTTCTTGCGTCAGTTGCACCTCCAGAGATACTCGAACGATTGTAAAAAAGCTACCCCTATGCCACGAAAGACCGACCACCGTTCCCTTGTCCTCTTGCTGTTCAAAGTCGTGCAACGTTCTTGAAATCGATCGTCGAGATAGAGGGAGAGCACAAAAAATATAAGATCTGTCGATGTAAGAGGTCAGAATTGGATCTTCGCGAAGCAAGAAGAGGCGGCGAGCAATTTCTAACGACTCGAATCCGATGGATATTTTTCGTGTCGTGTCGAGACATCGGCTGCTAGTTGTCGACTAGATTGCTACAATTACATGGCTAAATCGATTCTCAGGACCGGTCCGGGTATAATAATCTGTATGTAATAGTTCGCGATACCTTTCTAGATCCGTTCCGGATGACCGACGCTCGAAACGATGTTATTCAGTGATTTTTCTTCGATTGTCCTGCACGAACGACGGTTTCCACCGATTCCGGAAACATGTTCGCCGCGGGTGACTTCCGCTTGTCGCGACCGATCAATCGGTGAGACAAGATGGGAGCGTTCGAGCAAACGAAAAAGAACCAAACCAAACACGGTTTATCGCAATCAGGTTTTTTGCAAATAAATTCCCAAATAATTCCGTATTTAAACTATCGTTTTTACCAGATTTAATGTTACATTTTAAGCGCGGTCTGCGTTCACGAGTTAATGTATGTACTTTCCGTTGGTGTATGTACACTGCCTCGTTGTTACTGTAATAAAGACATTACGACGATAATAATAATAACAAACTGGTGGAAGTTTCGAGGAAGGTGGCAATTTCGCTGCTCGCCGTTGTAATCGAAAACGGCAACAGACGGCAAAAATTGAAACCAAAGACCGCCCGATCGTACTTGGAAATCTACTTCGCCGTTCGCGACGCGAGCGTCTGACTGGAACGCGACGTAACTCCTTCTCGATGGGCGTCTCCTCGCTTGGCACACGCTATCGATTAAACAAGGATCGTAGCCGCGATGCCCACACGTGTCGAGGGATTTTAATGATCTATGCACGCGGCAAAAAGTGCTTTTATACAAATATACCCACAATGAAGTAACGATTCACCAATAGTTAATGGGGACACATGGGCCATGATTTAGTCTGATTCTTTTTTATCATTTGTCGATTTTTTATACGACTACATGATTTTGAAACGTTCAATGATGAATAATTGAATGAAATGTACTTAGTACGTATTTAAATTACACCAAAGTACACTTTTATATCTCCAACATTTATTTAGTTATAACTAATTGAAGTCAGTTTTCATTTTATTTTTTAATTACGAATGCAGTGTGATTCAGGGTTCATTTTAGTTGCTTTTTGTAGAGCGAAGCCTTAGCTTTTTTTTTTAAAAAAAAAAATTAACTGCTACTAGCTGCTACTGCGAAAAATCTAAAGATGATCAACTGTTTCTAAAACTAGGAAACAATGCATACATTTCGAATGCTAAAAAAAACACAGTAAATCATGGCCCATGTGCCCCATCAACTATTGTGGGTATATTTGTATAAAAGTGGTTTTAGTGGTTGGTCGGTCGAAGAACCCGTTGTAAAGCCAGCCTGTACGGGGGTGTGTTGAGAGTGGGAATAACCCTGGATCGGTTTTATCAGATTACGTTAAAGTCGAAGCGCGGTGTCCCGGTTTTTGCCATGAGCGTCCGATAAGTCCCGGTGGAGCGTAACTTAGAAATGGTCGGTCCGGGTGGGATGAAATCACGGTGGGCCTCGTTAGGCGAGGTTTTCGTCGTGGAGGGTCAGGTCTCACGTTCGGGGCCGGATCTGGGGGAGCACGGGAAGAGGCTCGCGAGGAGACTGGCCGCGCGGGAGGCGGCGGAGCAAGGAAGGACGAAGGCCGGGGACTGGTGGGGCCCCTACGAGGCGGCAGCGCCACAGGACGTTAAGTACGTCTCGTAAAAATTCCATCGAGGCAGCGTCATTTTGCCGTGTCGTAGGGGCCACGGTTCAGTTCTGCCGGGGGTTCTCGTAGGCAGACCTAACCCTGAGGCCGCCCATGCACCTAACCCAGCCTGGTTAGGATCGTCCCATCGAGGGGAGTTGTTGCAACCTCGAGTAGATGGTGGTGGGGGTTTTTGAACGATCGGTGGACTCCCCCACTGGTCGCGACGAGGCGGTCGAGAGAGAAGCGCCTGCCCCTGCAGGAACACCGGCTCGAGATCCCCGTCCCCGTACCATTTCGAGTTACTGGCTTGCACTGGCCTGATAGCAAGCCACGAACTCCCGTAGCTCGTTTCGCCATCAACGTATTGACGTTTCTCGGCCGCGTACCGACCGCTCGTTTTCGCATGCTCGTCGCGGATCCCAGCTGGCCTCGGGACTTGTGTGTCGTAGCCGTGATTCAGTGTTTCGACGAGTACCGCGAGCAGAGCCATCGAACGCGAGTGAATCAGTGACTCTCGGTGCCCCCCCCCCGAAATTCACTCGAATGTGGGTGATGATCGGTCGGAGCGAAGTTTCGTACGGTCCGTTTCGCGGTAGCCAAGGATGAAGAACACGCAACGGCGGACAGAAGACAGTGGGGAGGCTCGAGAGGTTGTGATGTAACGAAAACTGTTGAGACGATGACTGAGGACGATCGGCGGGAAGTACAATGACAGTGCACCGTTGAAAGTATAAACTAAACTGCGTCGAAAAGTCGAGCGACGATAGTGTGTTGGAACGTTGTCGGTGAAACGGGATGACTCGTTCGTTCCTATGCGCGGCGTTGCTGACATATTCGCTGGGGAATACTGTCGGTTTCGATGACGGCTCGAGACCGTGCTCAGTGACGAAAAATAAAAGAGCCTGTGACTAGTTTACGCGTCTCTGATCCCGAACACATCGAAGAATAATCCAGCCACGAGGTAATGTGCACCACGGAAATGACGGAATCGTACACGATGTCACCGTCGACGACGGTGTCCTCGAGCGCGACGACGCCAGGCTGCCTGGGCTCGCCGGTTCACCGACGGACGCCATGCAGGAGCTCGCCGGGTCGTAGCGACGCTCAGGACGACGAGGACGAGATCTCCGTCGGGTGTCCGAGCCCTTTGCCTCTGGTGGTGGTTGCACCGAGCACCGAGGACGACGAGAGGCTGTCCAGATCCAGGGAGGAGTACGCGGAGAGGCTGAGCCCGCGTAGGAGCTATCCGAGGGACTCGACGATCGACGACGAGGACAGCTACTCGAGAACCGGCGATTACCGGATATCCAACGGCAGAGGTTTGCTCACCCGCGAGAGCAGCGGTGGAGATTCCGTTACAACGTTGAGAGACGACGAGGAGGACGAGGAGGACGACGAGGAGCTGGATAGCAGGACCAGCAGTAACGGTGCCTCGGCTGCCGGTGCCACGGACGATTACTTCAAGCCGCTTAAACGTCTCAAGATGGTGCAGGTGCAGCACTCGGACGACGAGGACGACAGGGACAGGGACGCAAACGAACGAGGAGTGAAGTCTTTCAGCATCCTGGACATTCTGTCGCACAGACCCAAGGCGAAAATCGTACGCCCTTGGGACACCGTCGAGTCTAGTCTGAGCCACCATCACCATCACCGTCACCATCTTCACCAGCAACAGCAGCCGCATCATCAGCACCACCTGCATCATCATCACAGCCATTCGAACGCGGCGAGGGATCTCTCTCTGATGGGCATGTCGTTGGCCTCCATGTCCGGTTCCATCAGCGAGCCACCTCTCAGCAGCTCCTCGTCGTCCGGGCGAAGCTCCGTCTCCGATTCCGGAAGCCCGGATCCTCTCGCCCATCATCACAGCCTGCATCACGGCTTGCATCATCCAGCTCTCCACCATCCGGCGTTGCAACAGCAACAACAGCAGCAACAATTCAAAAGGAAAACCTCGCAACAGCACGGCTCCCAGGCCGGGCATCACGGGAAGAGGACGACGGGCCAGGGAAGCCCCCTCGACGCCCTCTTCCAGATGACCAGCAAAACGTTCGACGCCGGCGAGCATAGCCAAGGTGAGTCCTCGAAAAATGGAACACGATCCAATCTAATAAACGCAGAACCTCCAAGGTTCCTGGAAACGTGGATATTGGCACGGAAACGTCGTCGAGACGCTAACTCATTACGCGTATCCTACGAAATGTGTTGTGAAAAGGTCTATAGAACCAATATTAACCGATATTATAGCAATCCTCGGGTCGAATTCCTCGCTCTTTTGTCTCTTTTCCCCCCTTACCGATGAATGGGAGGCTTAATTTTGATCGATGTTCTTCGTGTAACCTGATTTTATTATTTCCTGAATTCTCTCTCATTAAATTCGTTGCCTGCGAGTCTTCCAAGACGGTGTACCTGTGTACCTGTTTGCGAAAGACAGGAAGTTCCGGGTTCGTTCTGTGCTCGATACTCGAGCAATGCCAAACAGCCCCGAAAATGCAAAACCATATGTCTCGGACGATTTTCGGTTATTGATAACTAATAGTGACATAATGTTTCCTGTTCCACGTCAATATTGCCACCGATCCCACAAAAAAAAAGTACGGTTTGCGTTGATTGTACCGCGGTCGCATGACGTGATCTCTTCATCTGTTCGTCAGCCATCTGTGACACTCGACGCGAAACAGCACGCAAGCCGTAATAAGTTCGTACTTACCTTGTTTCGAAAGTGAAAAATGAACTCTGGAAAGTTCATTGAGGTACATTTACTCCGCTTCTTTCTCCGCGGAATGTTCAATCAACGTTAAAACGTCTATTTGCCGATTCCTTTCCAATCGTGAAACATGCACACCGAGACTTTCATCGGGGAATATTTATTCTGTTCGTTCTGCTTCGAACAATCGTCCAGAAGCATGTTTCTACGAACGCTACTAATATCAGCACTAACATTTAAAAAAATTCGGAAAACAATTCCGAGGATGGAAACACGCCCGTCGAAAGAATACGAAAATTGCTTCTGCGAGAAACTTTGCCGTTCCCTGAACTCTCAAAAATTGTATCGTTCGATGATGATTAAATAAGCAGGTTGTTTTTACAATCGCGTACATATGAATCGAACGTTGTAATTTCTTTTTTTTTTTCCGAGGGAACGTTATGTATATTCTTCCTCTTTTATGCGGCGCCGGATGGGTCTTTTTCCCACGAAATAAATAAATCAGAATCCCTTGGAATGAGCGTTTTCATCCCTGGGAGCGCGTTATTTATTGAAACGCATGGTCCGCCGAATCTTTCTTGTTATCCAGCAGGCTCGGTACGCCTCCACGGTCGAGTTTGTTCCTAGACACGGAATATCAATCTTTCGCGGCGGTTGCAGCGAGATTGCGGTGACGATTGATGGTACACGAGGGACAAGTGCGCGATTACGCTCGAAGCTTAATGGAATACACGCCGACGCACCGCGTCCGTCCACCAGCCATTGACGAGGATATCGATCGACGTTTATTTTGTTTACCCGGGTCAATGGAAACGCGGTGATTTATGTATAATCGTGGATCGTTAGCGGCGAAACGTGAATCAGTGTTCGTTGTACGAGTTTCCTCTTATTTTTCACAATTTCTCGTTGTAAAAGTCGAGATCTTTTATCGAGACGTTCACGGGGTAACTAAAAAATTGGATTTACCGACGATATACGTTGAAAACAGCGAGGCTGTGTCGGCAATCTTCTGGTTCTTTAATCCAATTACTCGAGCAGTAAAAACCCCGAGTGGGAACGTTGGATGCGCCGGGGACCACGCAAACGGAGGGCCCCTTTTCCCGAGCCTTCCTCGTCACCGGTCGAGTCGTCGTAAAACTCAGTTTTCCGTAACGTTAGGCCGCAGAATTCAGTTTTGGCATCGTTGGCGGGATTAAAATCGCCGAAAAAGATACGCACAGAGGTCCGGGGGCAATAATCATCGTAAAATTAAGGGTTTATGAAACGAGAATTGCGGAGGGTTCGGGTGAGAAGCTCGTAGCGCCCGAGGGTCCTTCCGAAGGACCATCCTCGTGATCGTCCATTGTTTACCGGGGGTACGGCAAATTGTTTTACAACCCCGTTTCTCGAGAAAAAGGAAAACGCTTCTTCAACCCTCCACCCCCCTCTCTGGCCACCGATGTAAACATTCGTTGCGTAAAGCAGATTTCGAGCCACTGTTGGGATATTACCCTCGACAATAGTATATCGAGTCACGTGTTTCGATGATCGACCTATGGGAAATATAAGACCACTACAGGAATCCCGTAACGAAGCAATTATTATAGAATTATTATGGTACTAGTTTCATTAAATAAAAATGCAAACGCGCAAAACAAGTCATGTTTATCCCTTTGGAAGACCTGGTGTTAAAGTATCGTAAATAACAAGGGCGTTATGGGAGACGCGTGTTTGTTCTTGAAAGCGTGGGATTTCGATATTCTGTTTGTTGTCTCGGTGGCACTGCAATAACAGGGAACGAGGAGGCGATTTATCGTACGCGAAATAATACAAGAAGTCATAATAATTGACGTGTTTCTATACGACCTACGCGCTATACGAACGAAGGGGGAAAAAAAACAGTGACCGTTTTCTGTTCGAACGGCCGCGTTGACCAAAATCTTGCGATTTCTTCGTGTGTAGGCCCAATTAGGTGGGCGCAGATTGTTCGAGCATCGGGACACGTCGTTCATCATTTTCATACCGCGCTTCAATTACTATTCGGACAAAAATACGTAAAAATGAAAGGAAAACGGTTGACCGGCTTTTTTGAAAACGCTGGTCCCCGACGAAAGGACAGTTTGTCATTAGATTGTCCGGGGAAGGGGCCCGTATTATTCCGCAAGACGGGGGATGGTCGTTGCGCGTCGCTCGACCATCGACCACGTACGTGTCTCGGTGGGCCGCGTGTGTGTTCGTGACAGGACCAGTACGTAATTTTCGGCCCACCTATACGCGAACGATTTCTACACGAGTAATTTATTATGTGGCGCGGCGAGAGCATATGTCTCATTTGCATATAGCGTGATACAGAAAACGCGAACCAGGACTTCCGACCGCGGCGACGGCGGCCAATATGCCGCCACGACAAAGGGACCGTCCTCGTCGCGTTTCGAAACGCGATCGACGGACCAATCGAAACGGTAACGCGGCAAAGGAAAATCATTCGTAACATGCTGATGACTCTCGCATCGTGTGCTTTTGGTTCAAACGGAAGTAGATGTGACAGACCATTCCAGGGCTTCGGTTAAAATAGACATCAGCTTTGATGGGAATTGCAACGCTTTGTGATCTTCTACCTGGGCCAAAAATTTCTGCGTTTTAATAGTCCTTAAGGGTTGCCCTCTCCAAGTACGAAGGAGCGTGGAGAAAGGGGAACGCGTTGCCTGGGGCAGGGCGGCATAAAACCCGGTGCACGTTCGCTTTACGCAATTTACGATACGTTCCTGAAAAGGGTTAACATTAAGAAAAGAGGCAACGGTTTAAAGACGCGTTACAAGATTCCCGGTGATTGGATGCACGCGTATGTACAATCCTGCTCCAATTTTTCCACATTTATTCTGTGTATTTTTGTAGCAAAATCCCAACGAGCCAGGAAGGTTTGCACGATCTCGGTTGTCCCGAGCTCCCAAGGAGTCTGATCGTTTCTATTATCCGGCGACCTTGCGAATCTACTGGTCCCATCGTTCGTGGACCAGTTTTTGCATCATGATCGCGACGGTATGATTCGTTGTGCTATCTCGAGCCACCCGGAATACGCATAATACGCGTTGTTCACACGACGGATCGAGCCGACAAGGCGGCCATCTACTTCGGATCCGAGTGTTGCGGTCTCGGGGGCCCGGGAATTACAAATGATATCGAATCGAATCGTTCGTAATATTATTCGATACGTGTTCCATTACCGGCGAGAGCCAGGGCCTCTGGGATTCAAATTAGATTACCGGTAGGTTAGGTAGTCCTGATCATACGTACCTCCGTGTACCTACGTGCACGTTCCCTCACCGATATTATTTATATATATATATATATATATTATATATGGTGTACGTGTGTAGGTAAACGTCCATGCGTGTAGAGGACCGTGCACATTTACAGAATAACAGAAGAACCGACGGAACAGACAGACGGACGCGGCCAGTAAGGCCCCCGAGGCCCTCTACAACACGGTAGCCTCACGTATCCGCAATTTACTTCTGATTATTATGCTATCTATACTTACGCGGCATTCTTATCTCTTGTTCGTTTTATTCCTCCCGTGCGTCCTCTTCTTACCGCTACCTGGACGCGTCTTTATCGCGCTCCCTCTTCTCGTTCGCGTTCTCTTTCGTTCGTCGGACGCTGCCTTGTACGAGAATCGAGGCAGGTATCGATTTACGGCGGAACCCAATCGTTAGATTCTTGATGATATGTGCCCTCGTCGCAGCCCACTTCAACCTGCCTCGAAGAGGAGCTTTAGGGGCTATAGGTAGCACTTGTTTCCCGCAAGAATTACTCGACCGTTTACGCGTTCCGAATAGAATCTGTCGTTCGCGTCGGTACTCGATCCTGTCGCGGTATCGACATCCGGCCGGGCAGATATTCCGACATCAAATCAGAGTCGTTAGCCTTTCCTCGACGAAATTCCATTGTCGCAAAACGAATTCACCAATTCTCCCTCCGCATCCATTCGATCGCAGTTTATCGGTTCGAATCGACGAAGTTTCGGTAGCTGTTTCGAAATCGATGCTTAGTTCCCAACACACGATACACTGGCACACGAAAGTACTAACTTTCTTGTATATGTGTGAAACAAGTAGATGTCAATAGAAAGACGGAAGTATTAAGATCGTGCCAGTAAAACTTGAAAAAGATTCAACAACGTAAGTAGGAGTTACGATACATTTATTAGAAACACGTATGGCGAGTGACTCGCAAAAGTATTCGAACGCTACGTGTATTATTAAATTATTTAATATCAATATTTTAAGCTATAATGCCCCTTAACCGACGCTCCATACTATAAACCAATGATTTTGCAAAACTACGCCCAATGGAGTTCCATATTTCTATAATTTTATTTGTCAGTGT